GATGCATATAAAATGTATTTTTAAAAGGCAATTTATCAAGACTTTGGTCATAATGATGTGTGGAATACCGGTAGTTTTTAATTGACGATGCTACCTCTGTTTTGCCATATTGTGGAAAGACTTATATGGTTTTAAGGGCTGATATAAAGTTCCTATACCTGTCCTGTTTTATCATATCAAAAAAAAAATTATGTTCTAAGGAAAATATGCCAATATGAAAAGTTGCAGAAAGTTTAGTCCATTTCTCAAAAGATATAAATAAATAAAGGGAAGGTATTAAAAACGCATTTTCATATACCCAAAATAATATATTTATGTTATAGCTTAGATATTTTGTATGTAGCATGCCTTGTTAAAATCTACTTACACCCTGTGGTTATTAATATTGGGCCTGCAGATACAGAAACATATTTTCATATGTATTCTTATATAAAGATATGATAACCAGATCTCAGTTATTTGGCACGTGTCATTAAATAGAAGAACCCTCCATTTGTTCAAAAAATAATTTCACTGATATTAAAAAATGGCAATGCCAAGGGGGTTGGTAGGTCTTGTACACTTTACATGTACATATACTTATATAGAATTTTATCTTAAAAGACTTTCTTCCAACGTACTTCATGCAGAGCATGGGTTTTAAGTACATGTATGTATCATCTCTTTGTTAAAGGAGAATTATCAATTTTGTACAAATAATAAATATGAGATGTTTGTGTGAGTACTGATGTTATAGATATAAAGGGAGGTAATAAAAAAGAAGACAATTATTTGTAAGCATATTAATTTGATTTTTTATTATTTTTTTGGCAAATGATATTATGTGCTTAAGTATTTCTGGTATGATTTTATTCATATGTTAATTTTAATATGTATCATTTAGAAACAAACATTTTTTTTGTTATTTCAGTCAGTATAAAATTATTCTTCTTGACAATTGTAGGTAGCTGCCGTCCGGTTAGCTCAATAGGTAGAGCGTTGGACTGTGAATCGGGCAACCCGGGTTCGATTCCTGGACGGCGCAGTCACTTTCGTTCTGATTAACCATGAAATCCTTTCTACGGTCATTAGCACTGTTTCTCCGCTCATGCATGTTTCAGTTCCTTGCGTAAGGCAACTAGTACAGGTAAACTGCTTGACAGCCCATGAACGATGCTGTGGTTGAACTGTGCTGTGGTGAATTCAATGTGGCTTACTGCCGTGACCCGGAGTGAAAACTACCAACACCACCACCACCATTGTAGGTAGCTCTTTATGGGTTTGACTGGTGACATGTTGGTGTATGTACACCACAGCGAAAGCTGTAGCATTTTTTTTATAATTATCACTAAGTATTAATGTGACAAAAGCAAAATTCTTTGGCATGTATCATTAAGATCTTAATATTGATAATTGAAATAAAACATGTTATTAATAGGTATCCCCTCTTTTTAAAAATTATTTTTGATTACTTTTAACTTAAATAACTTACAACAACTTACTTAATAACTTACTTATCAAAACAAGGGAACTATATTTGATAATGTTCACGCTTAATTTCTAAAAAATGTTATCAGTTTAATAATACACATATCAAGATTATGTCTGCCGGGGAATAGTTTCAATATTGTGCAATATTGTGTCAAATTTTCGAATAGTACCGAATAAAATCGGGAGTTTGTTTGTACGGCTATTTATAATTTGCGGAACGAAACGGAACGGAACAAACAATGGGACACCATGTAAGACAGATCTTATTGAGTAGAAGTGCAGTGCAAAGAACAGTTACTCTGCATTGCTTAAGTTTGGAATTATCACATTTTGAACTTTGTCTAGAACATAACTCTGAAACTATAAAAGATATTATTTTCTGTGTCCAAATCCTAGTCGGGGAGCATCACCCGGTTCAACCGGCTGTTGTTTTTCACAGTATTCCAATTGTCTTTCTGTATAATTGCAAAGCATGACCCGTGCCAATAATAGAATAAGAAGCCGATTATGTAACCGTTCTTGCTATCGCATCTTCGTATTTTTTCAGTTTTTATATTTTAAGCAGTTTATACTTTTCATATCATAAACATTTGTATTTCACTATTATTATTATTGTTATTCATATATCTATCAATCAGTTACCGGTCGATCGCCATTGAAAAATATAAATATTTCACCTCACTTTGACAACGGAAAAATAATATAACTTTTACGCACTTCGGTTGTCCGTAAGAAAAAGACATATTTGTATTGATTTCACCAACTTTACAGCTTTTTAGCAAAACATCTATAAGGCAATGTCGTAATATTATTGTAGGGATGCTGTTGAATACTCATATTCTTTTTCATAGAAGACATCAATAAACAAATTACATACGATTTACATAATTTCAGGCCTTCGTTATTACGTTCAAACAGGTAAAGATATTGTGCCTACGTAAAAAAACAAAAAGCACCGCCTAGCAGGGCCCACTCCCGACATTTTACAAAATATTGTTTCGGACGGCAAGGGGAACTGGAACGGAAAACATGTCTCCGGAAAAAAACTCATATCAACTCAAAAAGCTTGTATCACAGAACAGTTAAACTGGTAAATAAAGGATATCCAAAGGAAGATCATACATTGCTTTATAGACAAGTGAATTTTTTTCTCGGAACGTACACTGGTCTAATTTGTTTTCAATTAAAGTATCTATCTTCACAGGCCAGTATTAAATCGGATGTTGTCTGTTATGGAGGCTATTCGTTGCCAAAAACCCAGTGTTTGAAACTTGACAATGCATACTACGGTTCTACTAAACAGATCAGTAAAAATCTAATTGTCGATCCGAGAGTTACATACTGCACTGGTATTAAGCATTTTGATTATCTCGATTAGATAAAGTGGAAGCTGTAAACATGCAACTAAGATAAAAATTGCAAATTAAAGAAATATTTAACAAACTGTATTTAGAAATGTATAACTTCAAATTTGCCACATGTAGAAATGTGAACGAGAGAATGACCATAACACGTTTTGTAACAAACTGTTCAACTCAGATCAACAAGGTTGGATTTTGGCAACGAATAACCTCTATCGTCTGTAACACATATTTCACTTTATCTCAATTATTTAAACATACATACATAAATAGAGTATTTAGATAAAATCTTACTATTTTTCATCCATCGATAACGAATCCAATCTAAAAATCTCTGAAAAATGTTTCCATTCATCTGTCTGTTCTGTCTTGTTTCATCTAAAAGGTAATTATAACATCTTTTAACTTTCATGAAACCAGTTTTAAGAATTATAACGAACTTACAAGACCCAATCCAATGAAATATGTTAGAAGTGGCATTAATTATGTTATATTATGACATTTTTAACGTTTACGATTGGTCTCTTGACGGATAATAATTGATGTGTACTGTAACCACTAAAGTGTGTTGTATTAGGACATAAACAACTTAGGTGTTGTATAATAACAGTTAACACTAAAAGGGTGTATAATCAGAGTGTTCTATATGATAGCATACACTACTTAAGTGTGATGTTTGTTAAAAGTTACCGCCAATGTGTTGTACGATCACAGGAACCACTAAAGTGTGTTTTATGTAAGCATTACCATTCAAGTGTGCTTTATGTTAATATTTACCACTTAAGTGTGATTTATGTTAACATAACCCACTACTAAAATGTGCTGTATAAAAACAGCTACTGTTAATTGTGACGTATGATATGTTAGCATAACCAGGATAACCAATAAAGTGTGCTTTATGTTTACATTACCCACTAAAGTGAAAGGCCTCCAGATAGTAAAATGAAAATAAAAGGAAATAAATTTTCTAGAAAACGGTAAATACTTATACTGTATATTCAATGTGTATGTGTATTCAATGAAGAATGTTGACAAAAACGTCAAAATTTTGTGTTTCTACTTCACATAACGACGTAGACAATATAAGTCAGAGATAATAAATCATTAAACATGGTGTCAAAATAGCCATTTTATTTATGAAAAGAAACACAAATGTCCGCCATTTTGTATTATTTATTGTTTTGACGTGACGTCACAATTGTGGCGTTCTATCCGGTTCGCGCGTTGTGTATTTATATGAAATGAAATCGGAAATAAAAAAAGAAGAAAAAAAAAATTGATTTCGAAAGAAGCTTTATATATATTGTCAGAAAGCTTAATTTTCAGCAAGTCTCCTTGTTGGTGAGCAGGTCCAGTGAGGGAACCGAATAAAGCAGCAAGTCTAGAAAACGGTCGGCTTTCTAGTGAAGAGTTGAGCCTTAGCAACGGTCCGCTTCCCAGTAAAGAAGCAAGTCTAAGAACGGTCCGCTTCCCAGTAAAGAAGCAAGTCTAAGAACGGTCCGCTTCCCAGAAAAGAAGCAAGTCCAAGGAGCGCAGCAAGTCTAAGAAGCGCAGCAAGTCCAAGGAACGCAGCAAGTCTAAGAAGCGCAGCAAGTCCAAGAAGCGCAGCAAATCCAAGAAGCAGCAAGTCCAAGAAGCGCAGCAAGACTAATAGTGAAGCAAGTCCAAGAAGTGCAGCAAGTCTAATAGTGCAGCAAGTCCAATAGTGCAGCAAGTCCAATACTGCAGCAAGTCTAAGAAGCGTAGCTAGTCCAATAGTGCAGCAAGTCCAATAGTGCAGCAAGTCCAATAGTGCAGCAAGTCCAGTAGTGCAGCAAGTCCAAGAAGCGCAGCAAGTCCAAGAAGCGCAGCAAGTCCAATACTGCAGCAAGTCCAATACTGCAGCAAGTCCAGGAGTACAGCGATTCTTAACTTATAATCACAAATACCGCTCAGAATATCGATAAAAATCTCATAAGTGAAACCAAAACTTGACAATTGGGGGCTCGTCCGGGATCACTTAAAAGAGATTTTGATAAAATGAGCAATATGTATTACGACGAATGGTTAAGAATATGAGAAAAGCTAGGGTTATCCGGCAGCGATTTATTATTGTTTCTTCAAGAGAAGGAAGAAGAATGCCTAGCCAGAGAGGAAAGGGCCCGAAGGCGTGAAGAAGAAAGAAGACAGATGGAAATAAACTTTGAGCTCCAGATGAAGGAAAAAGATCTCGAGATTGAGCGGATCAAATCCTGCAAAGTAACCACCAGTGAGGGAAGCAAGTCCCTCAGACCAAGAATACCTAAGTTCGATGAAGCAAATGATAATATAGATTCATTTCTGGAGAGATTTGAAAGATTTGCAATCAGCCAAGACTGGGAGAGAGACACTTGGGCCATGAGCTTAAGCTCATTACTTTCAGGGCAAGGTCTGGAAGTATTTACAAGTTTGCCTATTGAAGAAGCCAACGAGTATGACACCTTGAAGAGGGCTATCTTAAAACGATACCAGTTGACTGAAGAGGGTTTCAGGGTGAAGTTCAGGCAGAGCAGACCACTACCTGGTGAGTCTGTTTTTCAGTTCATTGAGAGGTTGAGACGATATTTCACAAGGTGGACAGATATGGCTGGAGTAGAGCAGACCTTTCATGGAATAAGCGAGCTCTTAATCAAGGAACAGTTCATCGAGGGGTGTTCCACAGATTTGGCCGTCTTCCTGAAAGAAAGAGTGCCGACATCAATAGAAGAGTTAACACGCCTTGCAGAGCAGTACATAGAAGCGCATAAAGGGGCGTCTTCTGTTTTTGCCAGAGGTACTCCAGTTCCAAAACAAGGGCAGATAGGCAAGAGATCCATTCCAGAGACATCAAGCAGAGTGACAGAGAATAGAAATTCGCCAGTGAAGACATGCTTTATTTGTAATAAGGCGGGCCATTTAGCCAGAGACTGCCGACAGAATAACAGAAGCCAAGCACCAAAGGTGTGCTTTATTTGCAACAAGACGGGGCATATTGCAAAAGATTGTAGGCAGACAAAATCAGAAGGTGTAAGAAGTGACCGCAAAGTAGCAGCCGTATGTGCCAAAGCAGACCTTAATCCACTAGAGAAGAACACTGAAGATGGAAAGTTGAAGTTAGCCAGTGGCGAGACTGTGCCGATCCTCGCGGGAGCTTGTACCATTGATTTATTGGAAGAAGAGAGAAACCTGGAGTTGAAAAAGGGCTTTGTTGGAGCAGATACAGTTAGAGTGTTGAGAGATACTGGATGTGAGTTAGCGGCGGTAAAGAAGAAGTTTGTGAAAGAAGAACAACTCACGGGTAAAGAAATTGTTATGATAACAATTGATGGAGATGCCAAAGTAGTACCTTTGGCGAAAATATGGGTCGATACGCCATACTATGTTGGGGAGTTAGAGGCAATGGTGCTTAAATCATTAATATGTGATTTAGTGATTGGTAACGTTGCCGGAGTACTTGATAAGCCTGATCCTGAATGGAAGGAGACAGAAGAACCATCGGCTGTTGCAGCAGTCATGACAAGAGCACAGCATCAGAGAGCAGACCGTCCAACTAGAGCGTTGACTGTTCCAAAACCTTCCTGCGAAGCTGAAGTTGACATAGAAAATTTGAAGGAATCCCAGAAAGGTGATTCTTCATTGAAAAAAGTTTGGGACTTAGCAGCGAAGGCAGAAGAGCTGCAAACCAAAGGTGGAGCCAAGTTTAAATACGTGGTGGAAAACGGTGTGCTTTTTAGAGCTTACTTTCAGAAAAATGGTGATGACTCCAAACAGATTGTTGTTCCAACAGACTTTAGGAAGAGAGTGATGGAACTTGCCCATGAATCCATTGTTGGTGGACATTTGTCATCTAAGAAGACAGAGGACAGAATCCTGACAAGCTTCCATTGGCCAGGAATAACGGGAGATGTGGGACGTTTTTGCAGATCGTGTGACGTGTGCCAGAAGACCATCCCAAAAGGGCGAGTGAAGAAGGTCCCCCTAGGAGACATGCCGGTGATTGAGGAACCATTTCATCGAGTAGCAATAGACTTGATAGGACCGATTATACCAGTGTCGGAGAGGGGCAACAGATATATCTTGACGGTGGTGGATTTTGCCACACGTTACCCCGAAGCCGTGCCATTGGCGAAAATAGACACCGAGAGCATTGCTGAAGCACTGCTTGAAATATATTCAAGGGTAGGTTTCCCTTCAGAAGTTCTAAGTGACAGAGGAAGTCAATTTACAGCAGACCTCATGAAAGAGATATGCCGACTCATATCTGTGAAGCAACTCTTCACAACACCTTACAATCCAAAGTGCAACGGCTTGTGTGAGCGGATGAATGGAGTGCTTAAAAGTATGCTGCGGAAGATGTGCCAGGAAAGACCCAAGGACTGGGATAGATACCTACCGGCCGTTTTATTTGCATACAGAGAGGTACCACAGGCGAGTACAGGATTTTCCCCGTTTGAGTTGCTGTATGGAAGAACAGTTAAAGGGCCAATGCAAATACTAAGGGACATGTGGACTCAAAGAGATGATCCAGAGATACAAAATACATACCTGTATGTGCTCAACCTGAAGCAGCGCTTAGAGGAGACATGCAAGATAGCCAGAGAAAGCCTGATGAAAGCCAAGAATACCTATAAGCATCACTATGACAAGAGAGCTCGAAACAGAGTGTTGCGTGTTGGAGATAAAGTCTTACTGCTTTTACCAACAGACAATAATAAGATGATGCTTCAATGGAAAGGACCTTTTCAAGTTGTCGAAGTAATTAATAGATTTGATTACAGAATCAAGATTGGAGACAAGCTGAAGACGTTCCACATTAATTTGCTGAAGAAATATGAAGAACGCCAAGATAAGATTGCAGCAAGTGTAGCGATCATAGAAGACGTTGAAGATAATTCAGATGGAGCGGTGGACGACGAAAGTCTCCTGGACTTCCCTAACTACACAAGTGGAGAGACATACCAAGATGTCAATATCAGTGAAGGACTTACTCCTGAACAGAGGAAGCAAGTCCTTGCCATACTTCAAGAGTTTTGCGAAGTGTTTTCAAAGCGACCAGGAACAACACCACTGATAGAGCACCACGTTGAACTTACAGACAAGAATCCTGTGAGAGTGAAACAGTACCCCATTCCATATGCCAAGAGACAAGCTGTTGAAAATGAAATACAAGATATGATAAAGGCTGATGTGATAGAACCATCTGTGTCGGAATACAACGCACCGATAGTCATTGTCAAGAAGAAAGATGGGAGTAATCGATTTTGTATTGATTTTAGAAGACTGAATGCCGTCACCAAATTTGACACCGAACCAATGGCAAGCGTAGATGACATCATGGCAAAGCTGAAAGATGCTAAGTATTTTACCAAGATCGACTTATGCAAAGGTTATTGGCAAATCCCAGTTGCTGAAAATTGCCGCAGATTTACAGCATTTGCAACGGATAGAGGGAGTTATCAATTCAAGAAAATGCCTTTCGGTATGGTTAACTCTGGAGCCACATTCAACAGAATGATGCGGAAGTTATTGGCAGGGTGTGATTTTGTTGACAACTATGTTGACGATATGATAGGGCATACAACAACCTGGACAGAACATATGACAATGCTGCGGCAGCTCCTCCAAAGATTGGCAGAAGCAGACCTTACCATAAAGCCATCGAAGTGTTATATAGGATATAACAACATTGGTTTTACAGGACATATGGTGGGAAATGGCATAGTTCAAATGGAAGGGGAAAAACTGACAAGAATCAAAGAAGCAGAAGTGCCAAAGACTAAAAGACAAGTTAGAGCATTCTTAGGACTTGCCGGATATTACAGGAGATTTATACTATCGTTTGCTGAGATTGCGGCACCTCTTACAGACTTAACGAAGAAAGGTTTACCAAACAATGTACGATGGGGAGATGAGCAAGAAAGAGCTTTTAATACTTTAAAGGAGCAACTAACCAAGAGTCCAATTCTTCGACTGCCTGATTTTTCGAAAGAATTCATTTTACAGTGTGATGCCTCGAATGCTGGGATAGGTTCGGCATTGCTTCAGAGATATGAGGGAGAGTTGTTTCCTATTGCCTTTGCAAGCAAGAAACTACTTGATCGTGAAAGGAACTATTCTGTAGGAGAAAGAGAGTGTCTAGCAATCGTATATGGAATAAAGAAGTTCCAAAAATACTTGTATGGGAAGGAGTTCATCATACAAACAGACCACAGTTCATTGTCGTACATCCAGAAAAGTACACCAGACAACGGTCCATTAGTGAGGTGGGTTTTATTTCTTCAATCATACCAGTTCCGTATTGAGGCCATCAAAGGATCCGACAATATCTTTGCAGATTACCTAAGCAGACAGTATCAAGAAACAGATGAATAAAAAATAATGTTATTTTGACATTTGATGGAAATATTTAATATTTCCTTTTGAAGAGGGCTGTTGTCAAAATAGCCATTTTATTTATGAAAAGAAACACAAATGTCCGCCATTTTGTATTATTTATTGTTTTGACGTGACGTCACAATTGTGGCGTTCTATCCGGTTCGCGCGTTGTGTATTTATATGAAATGAAACTGGAAATAAAAAAAAAGAAGAAAAAAAAATTGATTTCGAAAGAAGCTTTATATATATTGTCAGAAAGCTTAATTTTCAGCAAGTCTCCTTGTTGGTGAGCAGGTCCAGTGAGGGAACCGAATAAAGCAGCAAGTCTAGAAAACGGTCGGCTTTCTAGTGAAGAGTTGAGCCTTAGCAACGGTCCGCTTCCCAGTAAAGAAGCAAGTCTAAGAACGGTCCGCTTCCCAGTAAAGAAGCAAGTCTAAGAACGGTCCGCTTCCCAGAAAAGAAGCAAGTCCAAGGAGCGCAGCAAGTCTAAGAAGCGCAGCAAGTCCAAGGAACGCAGCAAGTCTAAGAAGCGCAGCAAGTCCAAGAAGCGCAGCAAATCCAAGAAGCGAAGCAAGTCCAAGAAGCGCAGCAAGACTAATAGTGAAGCAAGTCCAAGAAGTGCAGCAAGTCTAATAGTGCAGCAAGTCCAATAGTGCAGCAAGTCCAATACTGCAGCAAGTCTAAGAAGCGTAGCTAATCCAATAGTGCAGCAAGTCCAATAGTGCAGCAAGTCCAATAGTGCAGCAAGTCCAGTAGTGCAGCAAGTCCAAGAAGCGCAGCAAGTCCAAGAAGCGCAGCAAGTCTAATACTGCAGCAAGTCCAATACTGCAGCAAGTCCAGGAGTACAGCGATTCTTAACTTATAATCACAAATACCGCTCAGAATATCGATAAAAATCTCATAAGTGAAACCAAAACTTGACACATGGTCACGTGTCACAACAGTGGGTCGGGAAAATCCCGGTATCCGGTAAATCGATATATTGGTTATACTTTATATGAAATAATTAAACAATTATAATGTAAGTGTTACAAATTTAAATACAAATATTAAAGCAAACCAGTTTTTAATTTTCCTCTATCTTTAAGTTAATACGATCCCGGATTCCGTGCGATCCGGACAATTATGTGGTACTAGAAACAAAAACGCATGCATGTAAAATAAAAGAAGGTAGTTCCCGTTTGCTGGAAAACAAACTGTTTGTTTTCAGAGCAATAGTGTTACAACATGAACATTTTGAAATTTCAGATCGAATTCTCTCCATCATTTTTTTCCTGATATCTTCTGGAGGCCTGATGCTTTAGATTAACACTAAAGTGTGCAGTAACATTAGTCACTAAAGTTTGCGAAATAATACGTTTACCACTTAAGTTTGCGGTATATTAACATTTGCCACTTAAGTGTGTTACATAATAACATTAGCCACTTAAGTTTGCGGTATGATAAGATTTACCAATTAAGTTTGCGGTATATCAACATTAACTACATAAGTGTACTGAATTATCTGAATAATAACAATTACCACTTTTTAATTGTGATGTATAAAATAATAAGCCACTTCAGTGTGCTGTATAATAACATTATCTACTTAAGTTTGCGGTATAATAACATTAAACATTATAGTTTGCTGTATGACATGTATGACAGCAGTATTTACTAAAGTTGCTTTATTATAAATGTAACCGCTTAATTATGTCTTAATTATCAGTTACCATTCAGATGTGCTATTTACAAAAGTAACCACTAAATTACTGTCTTAAGTGTTTAGTATATTAACAGTAACAACTTATGTGCAGAGGAATTTGTTTTGTTAGAAACTGAAATCTGGCAATATTGGGAAAGAAGACGAGTTTATTCGTACACCACTGACTGTTTATGCACATGATGATGATATTGATGTCGCTGCTGCTCCTGCTAGTGGTCACGATTAAAATGTTGATCAATAATGGTGTTGATGACTGATAATAATGATGATGTTTACGATTATTACGGCGACAATGACGATAAAAATATAACTAGGACGAGGAAAGGAATATGGCATGGCCTGCGTAAGCCAGATTTCTTTAAAGCTTGATTTGCTACCTATTGTGATTTTGTACACCAAAAAGGTAACAAATGAGCAAAATTAGCCCCGTAAGGTTATGGAAATGATTAGTTTAGGAACAGCCTGTGCTACACAGTAACAATATATCACTCAGTTCAACAACAACATCATCATCAACATCATTACATATATACACATGCAGTCAATGGTATGTTATATTTTTGGTGAGCCTTTATCAAGGGTGCAAACAATTTAACCAATACAAAGTAAGTTAGGAAAAAGCAAACTCTTCTGTGAGATGGAACAAACAACAACTCACGATGCGCAGTATGACATGTGCAATTACCTATTACAAGCGTTTATTAGACGTCTTGTAGATATGCATTCGTCCATTCAGCAATGGGAAAATTTTTAATCTTGCTCTTGTTTTCTTTTTTTTTTTCAACAAAATTACACTGTTTTCAGATTATCTAGCCAAAATTGCTTTTTTTTATGTACAACATGTCAACGAGCTTTAAGCAATTATGTAGAACAGACCATAAATTTTGACAATGCCTTTTCAAAGTCCACAACTACAAAATTTACCTTGCCTCCCTTTTCCTATAACTTTTGTTTAAAATTAAAGCGTAGTTAAAAAATAATCTTCAATAATAACTGAAAACAATTAAAGTTATGCTACTTGTGAGACGACCCCTAAATGACGTCAGAGTGGGTGCTGCGATTTTGAAATGGACCCCCCCCCCCTCTTTGAACAACAAACGTCAATGAGACAAAGTAAAGATTATATTTTAACTTTTTGAAAGAAATTAAAGCATTCTAAGAGATATTGACTCAAGGGTTAATGTGATATTCATTTCGATGTGTTTACTATTATATTTTTAACAAAAAAATGAAATATTCAAAATTGGTTGCGTTAATAGCTTACACATAATCAAATAGTGTGCGATTTGCTATTATGATTGTGCATCTTCCCCCATTTATTCAAATACCATTATTTCACTACGCTAGTCTGTCAGATGTTCAAATATGTACGCCTTGTTCTAAGCATTATTATTTAAAATATTGCAATGTTGTTTGATATTTTTAGTATGATAAATGATCACAATTATATCAAATATTATACCTTTATCTTGGCGTTTTTTTATCTCCTCGAGGTTATTCTGCACTTCAGCAACCTTTTCATTTACTTCTGTCATTCTTTCATTCAGTCGATCAACTTCGGCTGCATAGTCCATTATAGCATCTTGTAATCTTTTTTCTTCACCTGGATCTATGCGACAAACTTTGAAATTGTCAATTTTTTGCTGAATATTCAGAGCTGGAGAACTTAGTCGAACAAGTATCTAAGAATAGAATTAAACAGACGAACTTAGATTTTGTTTATGTATGCATCATTAAATTCAGTAAAATAGTTTATGCATTTATTGATTTATTTATTGTTAGTGCGTTGAATGAAGAAACTGATTATAATAAAAAAACTGTTTTTTAAACTTTTTTCGAGTATGCAGTTCTTTGAGATTAGTTAAATTTAAATGTTTATTCTTATTCATATTACATATGTATGACATGTTTATGCATAAGAATTTAAAGTAAAGTTTATTTAGTGTTACTTGTCGTATTTATTGCTTAAATTTATGGAGACCTTTACCCTATATAATCATTTTAATCAGATGATTATAAATTAATGTTTTAAGCTGATAAATTTTGAATCAAGGTACGGATGAAGTATTGAAATACAATAATTGTGCATCAGTTATATAACTATAAAGAAAGTCTTAATATTGAACAAACAAGCCTCAGTAACATAATATTCTGCCTTTTCCGTTACGTGGCTGTCACTGCCGTTATCAATAGTCACCTTCCGTAACATATGCATTTCTTAAGAAAATGGACATCAGGTCAAAAATACATTTCAGAGTGAAAGATTTGCCCAAAAACATATGAAAATCAAGCTTATTCACAAAATTTGAAAAAAATATCCCTATTGTTTAATCTTTAAATGTAAAGATAAAGCTGAAATATTTGAAAACAAAATAAAATTTGCAACCTTCAAGTACTCATATGATAAATGGAAGGCTCTTTTGATTGTCATTCAAAGGTGTAAAAATATTCATTTACTTGGAGGATTACTTTACTAAAAAACAAAACGCATAGAAATGCTAATTTTACAAATAAACGGTTATTTAACAGTCGTAACGAAGAGGACAATCTTCCGTACATTTTGTGGTTTCCATGGATACATGTTCTAACATATATGAGAAAAGATTGTTGCTGACTTTTGGAATTTAATCAGCATTTGTTGTTATTGTAATTATTCGTTTTCGGACAGCAAATATTTTCAGTTTACAGGTTTACATAATTTCATATTCAATATATACGTTTATCTTAGAATTACCCACATATATATAATATTATAGATATGTATTTACAAAAGGCGGTTTGGGTCATTTCAACTTCATTATTTCGAAATTTTATTTTCTAGAAATCAACAATTCAAAACATTGAAATTCACGGATTCGCGATTTCAACTTCACGAATTCAAGACTACAACTCTGTGAATTTACGATTTAACTTCATGACATGAAGTTTCCCAATTGCAACACCATAAATTCACGATATTGTGAAATTCGTGTTTATTACTTCACGCGATAAGCAATGTGAATTCACAATTTCAGATTCGTAAATGAGCGATGTCAACTTCATAAGTCATTTCCTGTGGCCTTGTGTCGCCAGTACTGGTGACGTCATTGTGTTATTTTTAGACTTCATATAACGCATTCATGATATTTTTGCCATGTACATCATATGCTGCCATAAAAAAATCAAAATATGTGATAATTGAAATAAGTTCATGAAAATATTTTTCATAGGCCTTGTTAATATGAAATAAGGTGCTACCTATGGCGTGGAAAGTCATATAAAAATTTGCAGTATCAAAAAAATGTGAGTCTCA